TGTGTGTGTGTGTGTGTGTGTGTGTGTGTGTGTGTGTGTGTGTGTGTTTGCGCAAGTGCCTGTGCGTGGGTGCGTGTAGCGACTTGCGAGAAGTGGATAGATAACATTAGCCTCAGCTGCTGTTTGCTTTCACTACTTTCAACACGCGCCTCTATGCTCTCAGACAAAGTCAGTTCGGTGTGGGAATACTGCTACTTTATTCCGCCTCATTGTCACATGCAAGAGGTCCAGACATATGGGGGGAGGGGGTATGTCAAGCTGCTCTTTCGGTAAGCAGCAGGGCCATGCACAGATAGACCCAAGTGATGCCTTGGTTGGGAAAAGTGACCTTTGCTTTTAGCCTAAAACAAAACACACACACACACACACACACACACACACACACACACACACACACAAACACACACACACACACACACACACACACACACACAGACACAAAAAATGTCAGCCATATATTCATCCCTGAAAGTGTTTTATAGCTGACGGGGATTTGTATGAGATTTTGCAATTTATAATTATAGTGCTGGTGAAAACATTAAATGGCTACTGGACCAACATTAAAGCAGCAACTCTTGAAAAGTCTTGCCTTCATACCTTTTTATACGATGAGCGACACTGCAAGCAGAAAGCAAAGCCTTCAATGTTTTATGCTAACGGAATCCATTATTTCAAAGTCTAGTCCATCTGTTTGCCAAATTGTCATGTTTAATGAAGAGAGATGGTTGGGGGAAGGGGGCAGACAGACGGCTGCTTTTCATTTAAAATCCGAATCATCTTGATATGAATACCTGAGGAAAAAAGCAGAACCGCAAACATTTTGCAGTATAATGTCAATATTTTATAATTACAGCCTCCTGTTCAGAGCACTCTTCTATGTAGGAAAAGTCACCTTCAATCATGGAGTTTTTTTCATGCAAGCTTATTAACATTACAGACTAATACGGTATACAATAGGCATAAAAAAGTCTTGACACCCCAATTCAACGTTTTTTGTGATATACAAAAAAAAAAAAAAAGACAAAGCTAATTTCAAACCCTTTTTCACCTTTAATGTTAGATATTAATTACCGTAGTAGGGGAGCGCCTGTGTATGTGTGTGTGTGTGTGTGTGTGTGTGTGTGTGTTCCATATATATATATAGATATATCTATATCTATATATATATAGATATAGATCTATATCTATATATATAGTGGTCTAGTGGTTAGCGCATCGCCTTCACAGTGCCGAGGTACCAGGTTCAATTCCAGCTCCGGCCTCTCTGTGTGGAGTTTGCATGTTCTCCCCGGGCCTGTGTGGGTTTTCTCCGGGTACTCCGGTTTCCTCCTACATTCCAAAAACATGTGTGGCAGGTTAATGGAACACTCTAAAATTGTCCCTCGGTGTGAGTGTGAGCGCGAATGGTTGTTCGTCTATGTGTGCCCTGCGATTGGCTGGCAACCAGTTCAGGGCGTACCCCACCTACTACCTGAAGACTGCTGGGATAGGTTTCGGCATGCCCAGCGATCCTTGTGAGGATAAACGGATGAGAAAATGGATGGATGGATGGATGGATGGATATTTAAACACCAACATATTCACTGAAACCACATATTTTCCAACAAAGGTCCACTAGCTTATATAATGGGAAGTGCCAAAGTTATGCAGTTAAAGTCAAAGTCAAGTTCAGTCTCATGATCACCGGGTCAAAGCCAAGTTAAGTCTTTCAGAGGTTTTAGCCTGGCAAGTCGCAAAATGGGCGATTGAAGTCTGACTTATGTCAAGTCATGACCAGTGTCTTCCATCTCTGGTCTTCTCTCGCTCGCTCGCGCCAACAATGATCTATTGACAACTTAAACATTGCTCGTTTTAGTTGCAATATGTTTTGGCACAAGAGCCATTTTGGATCTCAAATCTCAGGTGAATTGAAAGGAACAGAAAGAGAAGGATCTTGCTGTGTCTTATCACTTCATGACTACTACTCTGCTACGCAGTCTGAATGGGGTCACTTGCAGGTGAAGAAGAACATCCTCGAAAATTGCATCATTTTGCTAGGCATGCTCGCAGGCGATGTGGTATTTCACAGGTCAGTGCCTCTAATAAGTATCTAACTCTGAGAGACACCCACCTGATATCTGTGACCTTTGGCAATTGGATTTGCTATTTCCCTCCATGCCTCACCATCATGACCTAAACTCAACAGAACATCTTGTAAAAAGAGCTCCTCTTAAGAGACCTGCTGATTGATTGATGTGATTTCTAACCCTTAAAATGTTTTTAAAGAAGCTCTTCCCTGTGACCCGACGAAACATAACATACTACATTAAGCAACTTTTCTCACCCGTCCAACCACTATTTTTCTTAATCGTGACAAGCAACAAATGTGAAAGTCAGAAACGTGACTTGCTATGATGAACCCTGATGGAAGAATCCAAGAAATAGGACTCTTGGGTGTCTCAGACTCCCACATTCCATTCGTCAAAAGCATGATTCTAAATGAACTTTTGTGAAGACCAGCTAACAGTAGTGTTAAATACAAGCAGTAACACTGCCAATGGGCATGTTAAATATCATTAGATAGCATTATGGCCGAGTATTTATTGGAAATGTAGGAGTCACTGCCAGGCGTGGAACTGATTGAGAACAAAAGAATCGGGCATCATTTTAAGTTGAACAAGATTTTGAAACTTGAGGTCACCATTTTCATCAGCACATGGCCATATTCACTTGAATAATAGCCACAGCCAGGCTTCCTTCGGCGTAACCAGGCCCAACGGGGGTGGCCTGTTTAATTAAGATGGATGTCGGAGAGTGATGGCGACTGAGCCATGCTTTTTCCTTTTTTAACTGTGCTCTTACCTTTGGTTGCTGGATACTATAATTGTGTGGATTTAATTGACATTCGATTACAGTACAAATTGATGAGTTCCAGCGAAGTTTCAACATCACGGATGAGATGGCGCACGACCAGCGGGACCTCCGTGGATTGCTGTTGGGTCTGGCAGGGTCATAGTCGTCGACGGCAGTGTAAACAAAAGAAGGCCAGCTGAGCCGCACTGCACTTTTCAACATCCTGGAGGAGATCGCCGACCAGTTGGATCTCTGCGGTTGATGTAGGGTTTGGTAGCCGTTGCAGGCACTGTAAAAAAAAGCGGGGAAGGCGAACTGAGCTGTCGTGCTCAGTTAAATGCAAATAATGACGATATGTGGTTCAGAAAATGGATGGATGAATATCACTACTGTACTTGTTGGAATACATATATACTGTCGGGCTGGATTACATTGAAGGAAACCTCGGCTGCGGCTCTCATTCAAATGAATGGAACCGTGTGCTCATGAAAATGTTTACCCCAAGTTTCAACATTTATAATAAAATTTTGATTTTAGAGTTGAGGGGACTTCGGCTGGTTTTACGCTCGTGTATTTTAATACGGCTTTCAATAACGGCTTAAATATCGCACCGATACAAGTTACGTAATTTTTTTCCCTTATCGGGCTGAAAAACACTGTGCTTACCTTTAAAACATATTGATGAAATTAACTGCTTCCAGTCTTCACCAGTTACAGCCGCCTGACATGCTTG